GAGAAGGTGCTACGGCAAAGTGCGCGCTGATATCAGTCTCTTCTGTACCGAATAGAGTGTTGGCCCCCTCGCCTTTGTGGGTTTTCTCCAGGTGCTCCGGTTTCCTCCCACATGTATAAACAACGCTGATTCATTGGTTGAAATAAAGAACGGCAGAGCGTAGGCAGTACGTGTAGTCGGTAGCGGCGACTCTGCCTGGTGGGTACCCTCCAACTTCTCTGTGCTTCCTCAGCGGTCGTGAAATGCGATTTCATGAACGATGCGATATTAAACAAAATGTCATTACTGTTTGGTTATTCCTGTGTTATGCAGTATTATACATCATCGTCATTGTGTTTTAAATATACTCATATATGGCCCAGTCGCCCTTGAAAAAGAGCGTCTTAGCTCAATGGCCTTTACTTGGGAAATAAACGTATGATTCTGATATTGTTATGGATAGGTTATGTAAAAAACACGTGATTATTTTGCGTGGAGGGGCAGATAAGTGAAGCAGGCATATTGTCTGCCTATCTATTGTAACGTTCTACACAACGATGCAAATGATTGTTTTGTGTTGTGTGATATAATTTTCTGTTGAACTAAGACCCATATCCAACAGAGAGGCCCAACAACAGTGGCGATTAAGTTACCTGGTCCTCCCCTAGGTCGACTCGGTCTCAAATGAGTACCTGGTGCAATGTGTAAATATCGCCACTGGGGAGACAAAGGCGGTCAGGCGTAGTGCTGGCCACCCACCCCCTCCTGTGAGGCGCCAGCCTTCAGAGGTGCTCGCTAACAGCACTTGCCCAAAAAGTCTGCAAAGGCTATAAGGGGGATCTCTGTCTATACAGTATATATGTTGTTACATAACACATTTCAAAATGACATCCCACATGTGCATGTGTTGTACCTTAGCACTCTGAGAATTCGTTCGACTTCTTTGGCATCATTGCACTGGTCGATGTAGGCATAGTCCAGGTGCTCGACGGGAACCGGATTCTTGCTGCGATTGCCATTCGCAAGGCAGGCGAATGCGTCGGCACTCATCCTGCAATGGCACAGCAGAGCAAGAGCAACGCAGTTCGAGTCCGCACCAACACAGCACTAGCTGCAACACACAAAGACAAAGGTCCCCCGTATAGTCTTCACCGACTCTTGGGGCAAGTGCTGTTAGCGAGCAGCCACCTATGAAGGCCGACACGGCACACGAGGGGGCGGGAGGCCAGTACCACGCCCGGCCACCTTTGTCTCCCTAGTGCCGATGTTTACACAACGCACCCCGCACGCATTTGAAGCTCTCATATTGCACACAACAACAACCGCCATTCGCCACTAAGTGGCGGTGACGTCACCACGACGCTTGTGCCAGGCTATGTGCACCCTGAGGCCACGTGAAGTGTCGAACGCCCGCTGGCAGGAGGTCACGGGGCAGACCCAGGTGCCACGGGTCGACTGACTGAGATGACTGGCTGATACACCACCTGTGCCCCCTACTGTGCCAACCCGCAGTGCTTCAGCCACCTGGCGCTCCGCTCGTTGTTCTAAGCGTCGCTCCTCCGCCCTCCGTTGTTGTTGGAGGGCGACTGCCTCCAACTGCCCAGTAGCATCCTGGCTGGGCATGCGGGCTACATGACCCAGCCATCGCAGCCTTCCCCGCCGGAGGAGCTCACCGATGGGACCTTGCCCAGATCTTTCAAGGATTTGTGAGCTCCTCACACAATCCAGTCTGGTTAAACCCAGGATGGATCGTAGGCAGGCCAGCCTAAATGTTTCTAACCGGCGAAGATGTTCCATTAGGGGGGTCCACGTTTCGCAAGCGTAGAGAAGGGAGGGAATGACCGTGGCCGAGAAGACCTGAAGCTTAGTGCGGAGCGACAGACCAGGTAGCTTCCACACAGCGTTACGCAACCGATGAAAAGATATTGCCGCTCGACTGATTCGGAGTGAGACCTCTGCTGTTAAACTGGAGCCAGTCATAAGCACATATATATTGCACACACGCCTATGTACACACACACTCTCACTCACCCTGTCCCTCACCCTCCCACTCACTCTCTCACCCTCCCACTCTCTCACTCACCCTCTCACTCACTCACCATCTCACTCACTCACCATCCCACTCACTCTCTCGCTCACCCTCTCTCACTCACCCTCTCAATCACTCTCTCGCTCACCCTCTCTCACTCACCGTCCCACTCACCCTCTCACTCACTCTCTCACCCTCCCACTCTCTCACTCACCCACTCACTCACCCTCTCACTCACCCTCTCACTCACTCTCTCACCCTCCCATTCTCTCACTCACCCTCTCACTCACCCTCTCACTCACTCTCTCACTCACCCTCCCACTCACCCACTCACTCACCATCTCACTCACTCACTCTCTCACCCTGCCACTCTCTCACTCACCCTCTCACTCACCCTCTCACTCACTCTCTTAGTCACTCACCCTACCACTCACTCACCCACTCACTCACCATCTCACTCACCCTCCCACTCTCACTCACTCTCTCACTCACTCACTCTCTCACCCTCCCACTCACTCACCCTCCCACTCTCACTCACTCTCCCACTCTCACTCACCATCTCACTCACCCCCTCACTCACTCACCATCTCACTCACCCACTCACTCACCATCTCATTCACCCACTCACTCATCCTCCCACTCACTCACCCACTCACTCACCCACTCACCATCTCACTCACCCTCTCACTCACTCTCTCACTCACCCTCCCACTCTCACTCACTCTCTCACTCACTCACCCACTCACACTCTCACTCACTCACCCTCTCACTCACTCACCATCTCACTCACCCTCCCACTCTCTCACTCACTCACTCACCATCTCACTCTCTCACTCACTCACCATCTCACTCACCCTCCCACTCTCACTCACTCACTCTCACACTCATTCACCATCTCACTCACCCTCCCACTTCACTCACTCTCTCCTCACTCACCATCTCACTCACCCTCCCACTCGCACTCACTCTCTCACTCATTCTCTCACTCACTCACTCACCCTCCCACTCTCACTCACTCACCATCTCACTCACCCTCCCACCCTCACTCACTCTCTCACTCACTCACCATCTCACTCACTCACCATCTCACTCACCCACTCACTCACCCTCCCACTCACTCACTCACCCACTCACTCACCCACTCACCATCTCACTCACCCTCCCACTCTCACTCACTCTCTCACTCTCTCACCCTCTCACTCACCATCTCACTCACCCTCCCACTCTCACTCACTCACTCTCTCACCCTCCCACTCACTCACCCACTCACCATCTCACTCACTCTCTCACCATCTCACTCACCCTCCCACTCTCACTCACTCTCTCACTCACTCACCATCTCACTCACCCTCGCACTCTCCCACTCTCACTCACTCTCTCACTCACCATCTCACTCACTCACCATCTCACTCACTCACCCACTCACTCACCATCTCACTCACCCTCCCACTCGCACTCACTCACTCACCCACTCACTCACCATCTCACTCATTCACTCTCCCACTCGCTGCTCGCGCCGATGTCCGCACTAAGGCCGCGGCTGCGGCGGCGTGGGGCGGTCCCCATGGTAACGAGGCCTAGGCTCATCGGCAGCCTCCTCCTCCACTCATAACCTTGCCCAGGCGGCGATGAAGTTAATAAAGACGCAACTCTGTACAATCCCCGTGACACCAAACCTTCTGGCTGCACAGTTGTGCGATTGCGGCCGTGCCACCCAAACCACGACGGTCTGCGCTCTTTCAACAGAGGGGGAGGAGGAGCAGCAACACGACACCAACTCTCTCCTGAAGAAGCCCTCTTTCTCGTCGCTGCTAGCAGGCCTCGACATTGCCACCGAGGCCAACCTCGAACCTCAACAAAAACGGACTGGAGGAACGAGTAATGTTATTGGCTGGCCAGCACCCACGTCCGGCCGCCTTCGTCTCCATACCTGCACGGAGCCTTACACACACACAGAGAGAGGCGCGCTGGTGATGATGGAGGGGCGAGGTGAAGGCGGAGTCGCGTGAGCAGCACTCGCTCCGTCCCCACGGCGCTGCCCGCACGTTGCCACGGCGACAGCTGCCGTTGCCATGGCGACGTCAGCTGTGTATCCATGGAGACAGACTGTTAACTCGTAGATTCTTTCACTCGTTGATTCCTCCACCCACACAAATGTTGCGGACGCGGGTCATACAGACTGACTCGTCTCAACCGCACTGTGTTCAATCACTCACCCACTCGATCACTCACCCACCCCACTCACCCACCACACTCACCCAACTCACCCACTCACTCACGCACTCACCCACCCCACTCACCCACTCACTCACCCCACTCACCCACCCACTCACCCCACTCACCCACCCCACTCACGCACTCACTCACCCCACTCACCCACCCCCACTCACCCACTCACCTACTCACCCACCCACCCCACTCACCCCACTCACCCACCCCACCACTCACCCCACTCACCCACCCCACTCACGCACTCACTCACCCCACTCACCCACCCACTCACCCACCCCACTCACCCACTCACTCACCCACCCCACTCATCCCACTCACCCACCCACCCACTCACGCACCCCACTCACCCCACCCCACTCATCCCACTCACTCACCCACCTCACTCACTCACTCACCCACCCCGCTCACGCACTCACCACACCTCAAGGGCACACTCACCCTGTCACCCACGCCCTCCACCCAACCACTGTCACTCGCCGCACTCACTCCTTCGCCCACCCGATCACTCACCCTTTCACTCAGTCACTCGGATACTCACCCACTCACCACACTGCAGGTCGCCTCACTTCTCGTGCTGCTTCTTCCCTCGCTCTGCTCCACTTTGGAATTCCCTCCTCCAAGTCGCACCGATTGCAACTCTGGTCGTGCTGTTTGTTGCTGGCCGCTTGACAGATTACATGGCAAGCAGATTTCTAAGCACATGGGGCTACAACCCCATTTCGATGTAACAGTAGAGAGAACACGATGAGGACGCTTGAACTGTTCATCATTAAATGTTTAGTTTTTTAATGTCCTAATCAGCAGGCCCCGTAGTGTCAAGTGCAGGCTCTTATCTCTTCAATGCCAACTTGTAGCGCTCAGTCAGAGGGGCGACTCAGAGGGGCCAGGAGGGGGGACCACAGCTGGGCAGCAAGGAAGCAGCAGCCACGCGGCGAGGAGCCGACGCCAAATCCCTCACCCCCCAAGCTCTGCGGTCCTCTATATATCACGGTGTTCTCGATCAAATAATGAGTGTTTACACTCGGGGAAGAAACCGGTGCAACCGGAGAAAATCCACGTGTGCGATGGGGAGTAACACTCTACACCACTGCAGGTGAGGAAAATAAAAATAAATCATCTCAACATCACTTGTTTTATTGCCAGAAAGGATAAAAAAATGTTCATAGGCGAGGTAAATGTTTTGCTGCAGCGCCTAATCATGGCGAGCCAGAGGTACGGCTCCTCCTTGAAGCCCACGGGTAAGGGAGTCTCGCAACATCTGTGCGGTGATCCACCAACCCTCGCTGCCGTCTCCACAGTGCTGGATTACAGGCAACCACGTGCAGTGTAACCACCACCACCACCAATGCCGTCCAGCCGAATGTGTCTTGAATCCAGGAGTGCAAAAGTTTTAGACATATAAGGGAGCAGGACACGGGGAGGGAAATAACATTGGAGGCAGTCATATTATGTTTTTAACGTTAATATTTAATGTTTATTGGTTAATATTTATTGTTGCAGATTTGTCAAAGGATGTTGTCAGCATTTTGTGAACACAATGGATTATTTTCCTCTCTCTCGTTTTTTGCCCTGCTTGTGTAATCCCAGGCATCCCTTGGGACGTATGCACTCACGTGGTTGTAAGTAAAGGACACAATATCGATATAGCTTCAAGATCAGCTTTCCGCGTCAGATAATTCATCACAACAGAAATTGTGCCGAGTCGGCTCAAACCCCGACAGTAAAAATTATTTGATATTATTACTTGGAACTGTCAAAAAAAGTGATTTTCCTGCAGCTGAGCATTGTGCCCATTGGTGCTCATCTCCCGTTTACAGCCCTGCAGTGCCAGTGGTGGACATTCCACATTCCTATGGCGGGTGCGAGCCTATCCTGAGGACAACCACACTGTTGACTTCCCCACAAAGTGGTACTCAATTTATCGATCCAAGCATGGAGGTGAACTCGCGACCTTGCGCCTGCAGCTCGCTCCACCGCTGAGCCAGCTGGCAGCCACGCTCACTGTTCACTTGCACCGGCAGGGCCCGATTTAAAACGCCAACGGTTACTGGCAACTGAAGAACGAAGGCAGGCCAAATCATTTAAATGCTACCACCGTTCGCCACGTGAAGCGAAGTGACACATGCCACCTACGGCACCACACGCTGCCTACGGACACCGCACGCATGGGTCCGACTTAATTCCCAAACAAACCAGTAATGCGTTGACGAACACATGTAAGGGGACATCAGACGCGCCCTCCTCCTAGTGGTACGACTCACGAACACAGTATAGGCCACTGTGCATCTAGACGATGCCCCATATTAAGTTCACAAAAAGTTAGAAATAGTTCCTTCTCCTTGAACCCAACATCTTCTTGCTAATTATTTACTGCACTTAGTTGAAACGAATAGCACACTGGTTAAATGAAATCCTACAGATTCCAGAGGCAGATCAATAAACTTCCCAGGGAAGGGGGCACGAAATGTCAAGTTTTTTTTTAATTAGGCCCTACTGACCCTACTTAAATAAACAACACCATTCAATACGTTTTAACTAGTAAATATCAATAAAAATACCGATTTTTTCCGGTTCTCAAGAGAGGGGGGTGCAATCGCCCCCTCACCCCTGCCCCTCTTTGGATCTGTCACTGCCAGAATAAAGTAGTTTCATAAGTTAAAATCTGACTTTTGCAATGATGTATTCACTGATGAAAATACATTCGTGCCAGGTGTATGAAAAACGTACAGACAGTCCAAATGCGAGATAAAAACCCTAGATATGATCAGAATCACAGTCTATCAATGGGTGGTTCAAATCGCATGCATCTGTTGTCAGAGTAGGGTGGGGTAGGGGGCCCAGGTGGTGTAAAATGCCTTTTTGATCCTGGTGCTGACTGAAATGTCATCAGCGATGATCAGGTTGAGAGGCGGATTGGCGCCACCCTCCGGGGCCCTCCGCTGCTGGATACTACAGCGCAACGGATGGACCACGTGTGACCACCAGGACTAGGGGGCTTTTGACGCCACTCGGCCCCTTACCACCACTCTACTATATCCGTAACTGAAACGTACATTTTAAATAAATATACAAAACGGAACTCAAGCGTAAACATTTGTGCCAATAAATATACCATAGACATTGCATTTAAATATAACGTCTAAAACCATTTGAGTGGTTTACAATGTGTAATACATGACACTTCCTGTGTTAATCACATCGGCACCCAATTTAAACTATACTGTACATAATGCCGGTCAAAACAAAGTCACTCTAACCCCGACCAAAACACAAATCCTTCTTTAAAACTAACTCCTGTTTAGCTAAAGACCCAGGAAGGGCACATTCAATGCCATGAGGGTGGCTCCAGAGTGCTTTCCTACTGAACAACCGGAGTTTGTCTTGCTTCATTCATTTAGCAGCTAACAAAGTACAATTTTGATGGAAAAAAGAATAGGCTTTACCCTTTCCAGCAATAATACAGGAGGTGTTAAAATGTTCAAACACCGAATAGACATAAATTACAAGGCATCAAGTCTGCATTAACCACACATGCTTGTGGTAAAATATGCAAAACAAACATGCTTTAATAATGCATGCAATATTCTTAAAACCGATTGGCCTTCATGGCCTTGTCCCACCCGGTGTTAGACCAGAGAACAATGGCAACAGGAGAACAGCACAAAAGCTTTGCAAATATCAAACCATCAATAGCTCGGGTTTAGCAGCTACATCAATAATCTCCGCCAGTTTAAAAAAAAAAAATCTCCTCCTCCTAACACCTCTCAATGAGGGTGAACTTCTGCCTGCTAGCGCCACGGCACAGCGCCCTGCCCTTCCAACGTACGCCAAAGGTGCCGGCTGCAAGTGGCAAGCTCCGTAGCGCAGTGGCAACGCTCGTGCCTAACAGCAGGAAGGACCTGGATTGGATTCCCAAATCAGGTGCCTCTCTGTGTGTGGAGTAAGTACGTTCTCCCCCTGTTCTGCATGGGATTTCCTCCGGGTTCTCTGATTTTCCACCACAGCTGAAAAAACACACGACACAATATAAGTGGTATTGGCCAAAAAAACATCCCAATGCTGAAAAATCACCTGCAAATCACTCCATTGGGATTCTACACAGAAGTAGCATCACCCCCCCCTCTCACTTGAAAAACCTGGCAGGACCCTTCTGAAAAATAATATATCATCGTTTATGCAACTGCAATCAACAACACACGGAGGCGTGCATAAATTAAGATGTTTTAAGCCAATTAGTGTTTATACGTGTGGGAGGAAACTGGAGCACCCAGGAAAACCCTATGCGTGTGAGGGGGCAATGCTCTATCCCTGTACAGAAGAGACAGATGGAGGTTCGTCTGTACTTTGGTGTACCGCCTTCTCCTGGCGAGCCAGAGTATGGCTCCTCCTCGACACCCATAGGAAGGGAGTTTCGCAACAATCCTGCGATGATCCACCAATCCTTGCTGCCTTCACCAATGCTGAATTACAGGCCACGTTCGTAGCGACCACCACTCAGCGATCTAACTCGTTTATTGTGCTTTACCTGCCGCTCATCCCAGTGGTCTAACACCTGTGTTCAGCTTTCTGCCCAAAAACAATCAAATGATGCAGACACGGTCGTCTTGACAATAAATTGCAGCAACCCAAAGCAATTCGTCCGCAGCAGCTACGCGTAATTTCCAGTTGTCGACGCCTCCGGGTAATCAGCTGCGTCCACCGCCACGTGCGCATTGCTCCCACCGTCGCAGCGACCGCCGGCTCCGACTGGACACGGGACGCGCCGCCTGCTCGCGGTGGGCCCCGGCCCAGAGCCACGCGCGATCCCCGCCCCGTGCCAGCTCGGGGAGGCAGCCGGCGGCGCCCTTCACGTGAACGGCGTCGAGAACGCAGCGCGCCGAGGAACATTGCACGAGCATTCTGACGTCGACCGTTTCCGAGATGGAGAACTTAAGACTGGTCCCAGGGCCTTCTCCTGCGCAGCACCGGTACTTTGGAATGTATTCATCACCACTCTTAATATTCCACATTTTCCTTGAGGCGATGCTGCAAGATTTAAACTCGAATATTTTTCCTTTTTTGCAGTAAGTTCTGGCATGGGTTTCACGTCATTAATTTTCGTTTTTTCTTCTCCACCCTGAAATTTCATTTAACTGCCGCCACTGCGGACGGACGGTCTTGTGCTGTGGTCATCCTTGCAACAGAGCTGATCAGCTACATCGGGCCTCACCAGCTGAAATAATAAATTCCGAGTCTGACGTCGGTGGTTGACTATTTTATATTTTATAAAGTAAGGCCCACTGAGCTAAGTAGCTCTTTTTTCAGAAGTGACCTGACCACAAATGACAGCTCAACGAAGTGGCTTATCATCATGTGGACAATTTATAGCAGCCTGTTGATTCTAAATGTGGAGGGAAAAACCAGACGACCCGGAGAAAAATCCACGCGACCACAGGGAGAATATGCAAACTCCAAATATACAGTGGGCATCAGGGTCGGGACCGCACCCAGCCGAGGTGGTTAGCATCTCGCCACCGTAGCGCCTTGACACTTACCAGGAGGGTGAAACGCGTAGAAACGCCGTCGCATGCCAACTCCCAAGTCTCACACGCAGAGCGTGCGGTCGCAGGCACAATATAAGCACGTGTTTTTTCTTACCCCTGAAAGAAGTTAAACACACCGGCAACAACTGCATCGTAAACAATATCGAAGGTTCAATACTATGCATATCACACGAAGCAGTCTGCTTAAAACAACTTAAATAGGCATTACAGCCGTGCAACAACAAAAGGCAGCAGATACACAGGCAGCATACCTCTTTGGGACGGATGGCACAGTGGGACGCGCTGTGATACCTGTGTGATGCGTGGTGGATGGCTGTTGTGAGTGGGCTTGGTGGCGTGGGGATAATGGGAGCAGACATTCGCACGAAATAACTGGGACCCATGTCGGACAGACAGGGCCCTTGGCTACAAACATCTGGCAATTCGCCAAAATCGTTTGAAGCGCTGATGAGACACTGAATGTTAAAACCGGTCCAGAGGTGTTGCGCGTGTTGAGCCGATGCTGATGAAATGATGCACCCCCAAAAGACTGATGGGATATGTGTAAAAAATATAAATGTTTGTGTGCGAGAGGCGTCCGGCCTGCTTGTTTATGTTGACGGACGTGGAGTCGTGAGCACGGACGTGGGACAGGCAGCACAGCCCTCAGAACTGCGTGGCACTGGAAGGGTCGCACTGCAGGAGCCGGACAATGGAAGGGTCACTCTTGGCCCCGCGTATGAACTCCTCTACCGACAGCTTCCCTGCAATGAGAAGAACGGAGTCACTGTGTTGTACCTCACAGCACCATCACCATGACAACGGTGACGAAGAGCCACCCTCCTTTACTCATAGAGCGCCTTCCACACGATAAGCGACCGGCATCGTCACACCTCCTCTCAACGCAATTGAAAGGGGGGCAACCCCAGTGGCAGCTGCCCCTGTCCGGCACAAGGTGGCCGGCACCTAACCCTGCGAACGGGTATTACCAGCTGAGATAGTAAAGTCTGAGTGTAATGCACGTTCTGCATTGGTCTCGATGTGACAAATTTGATTGGAGCTTCCAAGGCCAACACGGTTTTGTAGATTAACACACATCGTGGCACTGTAGATGACAGAATTCAGGGTTACACCAGCAGTAGGGATGATTCATTCATCTGACACCGTGACGTTGAAGCGCGGGGCCCCCCAAAGTGTGGGGCCCGGGGCAATTTCCCCGATTCACAGAAACATGGGAACGGCTCTGCTGGAATGGGCCTAACATGCCAAAGGTTTTAACAAAAAATACCCGCAAATTACTCAATTGCACACGGCAGCAGCAACATCACCCCTTTACTCCGAAAACTAAGCAGTACCCTCCTGAAAGCCTCACCGCTTGTCTCGGGCGAGAAAAGCGCGATAGTAACCATAGCGTAGTAGTGTGTGTAGTAACAATAGTGTGCAGACGTGCGTATTTACCATCCTTGTTTGTGTCCATCTGCTGGAAAATCTTCTCCGTTCGCTTCTCTGGCGTGGACTCATCTTCGGGAAGTTTCATCACGGAAGCCACCATCTTATAGATGGCCTACAAGCACAAACACGCGAGACGGAGCTTATAGAGATGCACCGTCACGGTCAACTGTCATGGCGCCGTGCCCATAACCGAGCTCAGGGACTCACTGCGGTGCCATCGTTAGAATGGTGTCGCAGTCAAACGTTCCTGATGTTAAATTCCACACGATAAGCCGCTTTGTTGATCTATCATTTGTGGCCAGGTCGCTTCTGAAAAAAATTGCTCAGTGGGCCTTACCTGGTAAAATAAAAAATTGTTTTAGAATAAGACCTGCGAGCAGCGTGTATACCCAACTGAAAACCTCGACACATTTGGCAGAGTATCACAAACGCTTTCTTTCGGGTTTCCAAGAAACAAGTGAGCAGACAGTACGTCTCCTTATTTGGGTACACCACTTTTAAAATTTGTAACAAAATATGGACAGAGATGACACACAAAGGCGTGAATCCGTGCTCATGTACATTTTTTAGAATGGCTTTGCAACCATGCCAGCGATTCAGAAGTCCTCTCACACAGGCACAAAGGTCTCCCCTATAGCCCTGAACAGGCTATCAGGGTAAGTACTGTTAGCGAGCACCCATGAAGGCAGGCAAAGTGCACGAGGGGTTGGGTGGCCAGCACCACGCCCTGCCGCCTTTGTCTACCAAGTGACGATATTGACTCCACGCACACTGCACCAGGTACTCATTTGAGGCTGAGTCGATCTAGTGGTGGGGGGGGAATAGCAAGGACCGGTTCAGATAATGTCCACTGGAGTTGGTGGCCGTGTGCGGGAATCGAACTCGGGTTCCCGTATCCACAGCACAGCGCGCTAACCGGCACACTACCACTCCCCCCACACTACACACACACAAGTCCCACACATCTCGCAATCCCAAACACAACCTCCGCCTAGCTGCCCCCACAAGCCCCTGGTGACGCCGGCAATGCAGTAACAACAACAGCCGCTGCCGTTCGCCACGAAGTGGCGGTGAAGTCACCACGACGCTTGTGCCACGCTCGGCGCACAATGAAGCCACGTGAAATGTCGAAGGCCTGCTGGCAGGAGGTCACAGAACAGCTTTCTGCGTTTGAACCGCCCGGCTGCTCCGCTCGTCGTTGTGAGCGTCGCTCCTCTGCCCTCCGTTGTTGCCGGAGGACGACTGCTTGCAACTCCCCAGCGCAATGCACGGACACAGACACAGCCACGAGCATCTCTCGTCCCGTCGCTCTCACCCGCACGATTTCCAGCATCTCGGCCCGGCTGATGTAGCCGTTGCCGTCCAGGTCGTACATGCTGAAGGCCCACTTGAGCTTCTGCTCGAGCTTGCCCCGGGACGTGACGCTCAGCGCGATGATGAACTCGCGGAAGTCGATGGTGCCGTCGCCGTTGGCGTCGAAGGTGCGGAACACGTGCTCGGCGAACTTGGAGGCGTCGCCGTACGGGAAGAAGTTGGAGTAGATCTTCTTGAACTCGTCCACCGTGAGGTGCCCGCTGGGGCAGTCCTTGAGGAAGCCCTTGTACCACTCCTGCAGCTCCTGCTCCGAGAACTCGGTGTTCTCACGCAGGTCCTGCAGCACCTCCGGCCGCAGCTTGCTGTTCTGCTTGCCCATCGCCCGCTGCTGCTGCCACTGCTGCTGCAGCCCACACGCCCCAAGCCTCCCCGCATCCAAACACAGCGCTCACGTCAATGGCAAAACTCATCAAGACGTTCGCTCGTACGACAAACGCCGAAGTGCGTAACGCCGTTGTACTCGAGCCGTTGTGTCACCCCACCGAGTCATAATCTGTATTGATCCTGGATGATGAATCCGGTGAGCTAAAACAGTCTGTGACCACACCAAGGCAACACACAGGCCCTCAATTACATAGAGGGCCTCCCCCACGCCGTGTTGGTCACGTGCGTTGGTTGGCCATACTTCACCACAATGCCAATGATCCAACTTCGGTACCTGGGCTCACAGCAGCATGCGCTAAACACTGCACCACCCTTTAACTCGGAGTCTATGGGGCACTTCATCATTGTAAATTAACAACGGAGTAGTGGACAGCAACACGCTCCTGTTGGTATTCCTGCTGCTGCATGAAGCAGTGAGCTGCCACCTTACAGGACGTGTATCGACCCTGCCCGGCCTCTCCCTTCTCCACTCGACTCGGTCTCTCCACGCCTCGCTCCCCTTGTCTCTCTCTCCTTGTCTCACCTGTGTCTCTGCTTGTCTCACCTGTGTCTTACCTGTGTATCTCCTTGTCTCACCTGTGTCTCTCCTTGTCTCACCTGTGTCTCTGCTTGTCTCACCTGTCTCTGATTGTCTCACCTGTCTCTCCTTGTCTCACCTGTCTCTCCTTGTCTCACCTGTGTCTCTGCTTGTCTCACCTGTGTCTCTGCTTGTCTCACCTGTGTCTCACCTGTGTCTCTCCTTGTCTCACCTGTCTCTCCTTGTCTCACCTGTCTCTCCTTGTCTCACCTGTCTCTCCTTGTCTCACCTGTGTCTCTGCTTGTCTCACCTGTGTCTCTGCTTGTCTCACCTGTGTCTCTCCTTGTCTCTCCCCGTCTCTCCCCGTCTGTCCTTGTCTCTCCACGTCTCTCACCACGTCTCTCACCACGTCTCTCGTTGTCTCTCTGCTCGTCTCACCACGTCTCTCTGCTTGTCTCACCACGTCTCTCACCACGTCTCTCCGCTCGTCTCTCTCCGCTCGTCTCTCTGCTTGTCTCACCACGTCTCTCTGCTTGTCTCTCTGCTTGTCTCACCACGTCTCTCACCACGTCTCACCACGTCTCTCCGCTCGTCTCTCTCCTGCCCGTCTCTCTCCTCCTGCCCGTCTCTCTCCTGCCCGTCTCTCTCCTGCCCGTCTCTCTCCTGCCCGTCTCTCTCCTGCCCGTCTCTCTCCTGCCCGTCTCTCTCCTGCCCGTCTCTCTCCTGCCCGTCTCTCTCCTGCCCGTCTCGCTCCGCGCGCAGGGTGGCGGCTCACAGGAAGTGACCCCGCCGCGTGTTTCCGGGTGGCGCGCGACTTCCGGGATCCACCACTGGGGGGAGTGGGGGCGGGGGTTCAGGGGTTATGGGTCACGGGGGGGGGGTGAGCCTCGCTCTGCTCTCTCCGCTGCTGGATGAGGCCACCCCCCAGCACCCCGTCCCCTGAAGAAGCCTGGGCAGTGATGCTGCTGCTGTGTCGGCAGTAGTGCACAATTAACACAACTCGGCACATTCGTCAATAACAACGCTATGTGTGGCCTTAAAATTAAACATAATGCGCGACGTTTCGGGCGATGGTCCTTCACAGAACATGCATGCTTCAGACTAGGCACGAACGTGTACAAATACAAACAACTTAAAACCACCAGCAGTTCCTGTAGAACTGCGCTGTGGTCCATCAAAGGGGCCTTGAGCAAACGAGAAAAAACGTGAGCCCGACTGACAGCAGCAGGCACCATCTCTATCAACCCACGTGGTTCACCCCGTATTCTTGTACAGGAAAATTGAGTTTTTCAAGTCCATACGGCGTACAGCCGTTTCAGTACGGGCAACAAAAAAATGTGTCCATTCGTTTGTGTTTCTCCGTTGTGATGGGACTTTGTAGGATGAATGCTGAGATTTTTTTTAGGGCACGGGGTGCCCAAGAAGGTCTGAATTGGTCTGTAGTAAGGTGGGGCACTGATAAGGGGTTGACAGGGATGCAGCAGCAGTGATGTGGTGACAGACAAACTGTGACGGACGGGTTTCAGCAACACGAGGACTCATCAGCACGGTATCGTCACCAACGCTCACTGCTACGGATTCTGCCTCCGGCCCACCAAAAACGCTTCGAGCACGCGAGCTGACTGCATGGCTCCCTCGACGCGCGATGGATCGAAATCCTCCGTGCAGGCGGCCGAGAATGCAGCGGGCCTATGGTGGTGGTGCTGGTGCTGGTGGTGATGATGATGCTGGTGGTGATGGTGGTGCTGGTGGTGATGGTGGTGGTGGTGATGATGCTGGTGGTGGTGATGGTGGTGGTGGTGATGGTGGTGCTGGTGGTGATGGTGGTGGTGCTGGTGCTGGTGGTGGTGGTGGTAGTGGTGATGATGCTGGTGGTGCTGGTGGTGGTGCTGGTGATGCTGGTGGTGGTGTTGCTGGTGGTGCTGGTGATGATGGTGGTGATGCTGGTGCTGGTGGTGATGCTGGTGGTGCTGGTGATGATGGTGATGCTGGTGATGGTGGTGGTGATGGTGGTGGTAGTGGTGATGATGCTGGTGGTGGTGCTGGTGCTGGTGGTGGTGATGATGCTGGTGGTGCTGGTGATGGTGGTGGTGGTGCTGGTGGTGATGGTGATGATGATGGTGATGCTGGTGGTGGTGCCCTCTGGTGGACGGAGCACGGCGTGTCCAGGACTCAGGGACCGGGCGAGCCCAGTGTGCTTCACTGCAAGGCCCCGCGGGTCACACGATGCCAATTGTGCTGCTGGCAACACCTCCCATCGGCATCATCGTCATCGCCGCGCTGCTGTCAAACCTCCAATGGTTTAGACTCTAGAATGTGTGGCGGCCTTGCTCACACTGACCGCGTCCTGTCGGTGAAAGTAGCCTCCAACCCACCCCGCCGCGCTTCTGAAAATCAGTAAAGAACATTGTTTTAGGTAAACAAAAATATATAAAACCGCTGCGCCACGGCTCCACATATATACACACACAGACACACAAAGTTTTCAGTCCCCGACTCGCTGAACCTGATTTTATTGGCTGGGGGGGGCAAGAGAGCGTGGGCGGAGTAATTAATCTACAGAAGTGTGAGCACCAGTTCTCTGTCGGGCACAGCGCAGGGCGGCACAGTAGGGGGCACGGGTGGTGCATCGGCCAGGCATCTCAGTCAGTCGACCCGTGGCACCTGCAGGGTCTGTCCCGTGACCTCCCGCCAGTGGGCGTTCCGACACTTCACGTGACCTTAACGTGCACACAGCCTGGCACAGGCTTTCTCGAGGTCCCTCTGGTAGAGGCCATGCAGACAGTTGCAGGGCTGCACCTTTGCCTTTGTTGAATGGAACACAGTTGGAGGATCCAAGGAGTTCTCTTCGTTTCCAACATTCCAAGCGGCCCGCACTTCCTACGGACCTGACCGTCCGTCCCTCCACTCCCTCCGGGCATGACTTCCTGCCAGCCAGCCAGCCAGCAAAACGTTTTGTTTATAACATAACATCGCAGGCTCAGACACATTACAGACCCACGGAAAAACCCAAACGCTCACATAGAGACCCATAAGACTCGCATAGACCAAGCTGTGATGAATAATGCGACTGTTTGCGAGTTCACACCAGCCCGGTCACCAACAACTAACATGGGTCTACACAGAGACCCACAGGCTCGCATACTCACAGAATTACAGAGATGCATGCACTCACATTGAGACTCATAGACTCGCTTAGAGATTAATACACTCGCAGAGACAATGTCATCTTCAGCCCTGGAGGTGTTGGCTATGGACGTTCGTAACCCAGCACGGTGGAGTATTGAGGGTTGGTGATTCACACAAATGTTGTGAAACTGACCGCAGGCGTCGGGGAGGACACATACCCTGGGCTTGCCAGAAGGTGGCACAGCAAACAAAGTGGACTCCACCTGCTCCGTCTGTATGGGATAGAGCGTTGTCCCCTCACACGCACGCGTGGGTTTTCTCTGTGTGCTCCGGTTTCCACAGGTAAACACTCATCATTAGTTGATGACTGCCTTTCCCACGTGTCTGTGATTCCCCCTGGCGCCTCTCGTGTTATATTCTCTCCCTGCGAGAGTGAGCGAACGTCCTTCCCCCCGCACCTCCCATCAGCACGATTGGCTACGTGCGAGAAAAGTTCAACATACATACAAAGGTTCATAATAACCTTCGTATGTATGTTAAACATACATACGAAGGCACAACTTGTAGGAGTGGTGTTGCAGGTTGCTGAGGAGATGAAAACTGCCTTAGCAGCTCGCGATCACACGGCACTCTTTAATTCCATCAAAATAGTAACTTGCAGTGCCATATCTATATTAACACCCTTAAGGGAAAGAGCGGTTTTCCTATCTGCGATCCCCAAAGAACTGCTTTGCAGATTTGCTGACCAATTCTCTGAGGTCTTGGGGGAGCGGAAACCTCTCAGTTCAGACAACACCATGGGGCCACGTGGGCATGTACTTATGTTGAACTTCTTTCGCACTGTACGTAGCCAACCATGCTCATCGGAGGTGCGGGGTGACCATGCTGGGACTGCTGTGCCTCAAATATTGGAGGAAGTCGCCACCCCTCGGGAGCGAGTGGCTGGCTGATGTTGCCGTCTGGTGAGAAGGCACCACGAGTGATCGATCCAGAGCCTGAGATCACAGATCAACAATCTAGAATCTAGAGTATGGGACGTTAACAGAGCACAAATCTGGCATTTAGGACAAAGCGTAGTACCATCACGTTTATCCCGGCGCATCTCAGAGCGCCTTCGATGCAACCAGTTGCTTCCATCGCATTACAAATCTCAGAGGACATTTGAAAAGGGGCACCCCCAGTGGCAGCTGTTCCTGTCTGGGCTGCGAGGGGGCATCAGTCCGCTGCTGGAGGGGGCGATCAATGTCCTTGGGTGAATGGAGTTTGGTGTTGGGTGGTGGTGGAGACTAGGGACTACCCTCTGCGACGAAGTATGAAACGAGTGGCATAAATAGCAGCGGGTTTTTTCGTGTTTGTTTTAATATTTATAATATATACAGTACAACTTTTATCGTTACGTGTGAATGACATCGGACGAGACGGCAGAGAGAGAGAGAGCGAGACTTAGCGTCCAGGCGATTACAAAACACGGCCGCCACCGAGGGAGCGTCTGCCTCGTTAACCGTGTAAGAAATGCGAACCCCCGACGTACCGAGAACGTTAACCCTTTAAAATAAAAAACCGGTGGGACAAACCAAACTGTGGCACAGCAAGTACGAGTCTCCGTGTATATATACACACACACACGCGCGCACACGACCAGGGGAATCAATAAATAACTCGCCGGCCCAGCCTACTTTCTGTACTCACTTCACATTGAAGTGCCCCCTTGTGAAGGTGGTGGCGCACCAGGACACGCGGGTTCAGGGCAATCGTCACCGGCGACGAGGAGCAAACTCCACGCTCACTTTTGTATTGTTTACATCACGTTGAGCTGGGAAAGATAACACGAGTTATCTTCTACCGAGTCTCATGAATGGCTACATTTTCTGGAGAGAGACCTGGAGGAGGGTGGTAATGATTACTGCCACGTGTGTTTGTGACTTGCGCCGTTTCTTTTGAACTTCGACAAAAAGTGGACCGCGACGCCGGGACGCGGTGGGTGGGGGGGGGTCTGTTCACGTCGATTGCGAGCGAAAGCAGACGGCAGTATTTTATCGGTTGATGCCACACGGCAGTTATAACCAGGGCGGCCGCTGCATTCGAACCGCGAACCTCTGCGGCAACGAGCGGCGGACGCAGCGCGACCACCCTGGCCAGGGGTCGGCATCCAAAATAATAAAAACACCTCAATATTTCAGGAGGCGCCCATGTGACGTGAATGCGAGACGGTCGGTCCTCAATGACGTCACGACGCAGTCCTTGCAGAGCCGCAGGGTTCTGATCCTGTGGGCTAGGCTGTGCCACCGCCCCAATGGCGATGCGTGTGTGTGAGTGTGTGAGTGTGTATGTGTGTGAGTGTGTATGTGTGAGTGTGTATGTGTGTGAGTGTGTATGTGAGTGTGTGTGTGTGTATGTGTGAGTGTGTGAGTGTGTGTGAGAGTGTGTGAGTGTGTATGTGTGTGAGTGTGTGAGTGTGTATGTGTGTGAGTGTGTGTGAGTGTGTATGTGTGAGTGTGTATGTGTGTATGTGTGTGAGTGTGTGTGAGTGTGTGTGAGTGAGTGTGTGAGTGTGTATGTGTGTGAGTGTGTATGTGTGTGAGTGTGTATGTGTGAGTGTGTATGTGTGTGAGTGTGTATGTGTGTGTGTATGTGTGTGTGAGAGTGTGTGTGTGAGAGTGAGTGTGTGTGAGTGTGTGTGTGTGAGTGTGTATGTGTGTGAGTGTGTATGTGTGAGTGTGTATGTGTGTGAGTGTGTATGTGAGTGTGTGTATGTGTGAGTGTGTGAGTGTGTGTGAGAGTGTGTGAGTGTGTATGTGTGTGAGTGTGTATGTGTGTGTGAGTGTGTGTGTGTATGTGTGAGTGTGTGTGTGAGAGTGTGTGAGTGTGTGTGAGTGTGTGAGTGTGTGTGAGTGTGTGTGAGTGTGTGTGTGAGAGTGTGTGAGTGTGTGAGTGTGTGTGAGTGTGTATGTGTGTGAGTGTGTATGTGTGTGTGAGTGTATGTGTGTATGTGTGTGTGTGAGTGTGTATGTGCGTGTGTGTGTGAGTGTGTGTATGTGCGTGTGTGTGTGTGAGTGTGTGTTTGTGTGCGTTGAACTTCTTTCGCAGCGTACGTACCCAACCGCGCTAATCGGCGGTGCGGGGGAAGGACAACGAACTAAACACAAAAAGCGGTTTTAAGGAAATCAGTGGCAATTGGCAGAGGGCGTTCCGTCTGGCCACCAAATATGGTTTGTTAAAACACGGTTTGTTAAACTGCACGTGTTTAAAATGAGCAATGGCTGACCTACAAAGCGGACAACCAGGGGTGGCCACGTGAAGACCGTCCGCGATTCGATCACTTTGTCCAAAATCTGGGGCGGGGGGGGGGCGAATTTTTCCCTTTCAACACAAATCGGCGGCCGCCAGTGGCGACTACCGCCAGTGGTGGTGCCGCCAGTGGTGACTGCCGCCAGTGGCGGTGCCGCAGGTGAAGCTGCGGCCGCCAGTGGTGGTGCCGCCAGTGGCGGTGCCGCCAGTGGTGACTGCCGCCAGTGGTGGTGCCGCCAGTGGCGGTGCCGCAGGTGAAGCTGCGGCCGCCAGTGGTGGTGCTGCCAGTGGTGACTGCCGCCAGTGGTGGTGCCGCCAGTGGCGGTGCCGCCAGTGGTGGTGCCGCAGGTGAAGCTGCGGCCGCCAGTGGTGGTGCCGCCAGTGGCGGTGCCGCCAGTGGTGACTGCCGCCAGTGGTGGTGCCGCCAGTGGTGGTGCCGCCAGTGGTGGTGCCGCAGGTGATAGCTGCGGCCGCCAGTGGCGACTGCCCCAAGCGAATCGGGGACCTTCGCTCGGTCGCCCCGCTGGGTTCCGCGCGACGATCGACGCGCCGAGGGGTCGTGGCGAGCGCCCCCATGTACACGCGCGCCCCCTTCCCGCACGGTGCTGCCCGCCGGAGGTATTTTACAAGCGAGGAGGTGGGAGGCGAGGAGGTGAGGTGAGGGGGGGGGGCGGCCTGGGGGGGGGGGGGGTACCACCAGGCAGGGTAAGAAAGGAGAGGGGAAGGCAACATCAGGGAGCGAATGTTTACAAAAACAACGCCACAGACATAGGCGCGTGGACGAGGGGTGGACGAGGCGGTGTGGTTGGTTACGGAGGCTCAGCGTCAGACGTCGCCCGAGCGATGGAATCCGCTCAACCACCACCAACTCCGCTCTCCACCCCAAGCCAGCTGTGGCATCATACCCTGCAAAATGCAACGGAGTGTGAACGTTTCACTATACACATTAATATTACCGTCGTCGTTATCATCATCATCATCATCGTTACCATCTTTTGCATCGTTAGAATCGTTAATATCATTAGACGTAACAGTCGTCGCCATTTGCTGAGGCGACGGGAGCCTAAGGGACGAATGACAACAGTGTGGGGCCTTGGGGGTGATTACTGACCGGTGACAAGACAAAGACAAAGCTCCCCCTGCTGGGGCAAGTGCTGTTCGTGAGCACATACACATATACACACATAAACACGTACACACGCACTCTTACGTTCACAAACCCCGTTTGTGTAAAATTGCGATTGACTCCGCGGCCGTTGCCGCGACGCAGAAAAGCAAAGACAAAATGTAGACGGACGGCGGCGATCGCGAAGAGAGACCGCTCCACGCCCGCCGGGACCTCGGCGGCCACCGCCGCCTCCCTGGGGCCCTCGCTGGCGGCCCCAGGCCCGCCGCGTTGCGCCACCTCCGCTCGTTGCCGGCGAGCGTCCTGCCGCCAGGGGTGAACGCGACGCCGGGCCCCCCGCGGAGCCACCGGCCCCTCCTCCTCCTCTCGGGTACGGATGAAGAGGTGGTGGATGAGGAGGTGGTGCAGGAGGAGGAGGTGGATGAGGTGGATGAGGAGGTGGTGCAGGTGGATGAGGTGGATGAGGAGGTGGTGCAGGAGGAGGTGGATGAGGTGGATGAGGAGGTGGTGCAGGTGGATGAGGTGGATGAGGAGGTGGTGCAGGAGGTGGATGAGGTGGATGAGGAGGTGGTGCAGGTGGGTGAGGAGGATGAGGAGGTGGTGCAGGAGGAGGAGGTGGATGAGGAGGTGGTGCAGGAGGAGGAGGTGGATGAGGAGGTGGTGCGGGTGGATGAGGTGGATGAGGTGGATGAGGAGGTGGTGCAGAATGAGGAGGTGGATGAGGTGGATGAGGAGGTGGTGCAAGAGGAGGAGGTGGGTGAGGAGGTGGATGAGGCTGCAGTGGGGGTGACTGGGCAGCGGCCCTACCGGAGGGCGACGCTGGGCTGGACTTCCTGTTGCCGAATGGTTCCCAGGGCGTTTGTCGACGCACGGATTCCGGGGGGTGGCACACGCGACCAGGCAGCCACCACAACCGTCGTGAGGGAGGTATACTGGATGTGGTGTGCCCGCTACGGGGACATTACTTTCTGGGTCCTAGACCCGGACAGGACCTTGGCTAAGATTAATGCGGCCCTGATGGGCACGGTACACAGTAGGGGGTGGGTGGGGGATTGTCTCTGCAGGTGGGGGGGGGGAGGTGGAGGCGGGGGGGGGGGGTCGCGTGTCTCTCCATGCAAGCGAGCGCAGCAGCAGCAGCAGCAGTAGCTACAGCAGCAGCAGCAGCTACAGCAGCAGCAGCAGCTACAGCAGCAGCTACAGCAGCAGCAGCTACAGCAGCAGCAGCAGCTGCAGCAGCAGCTGCAGCAGCAGCAGCTACAGCAGCAGCAGCTACAACAGCAGCAGCTACAGCAGCAGCAGCTGCAGCAGCAGCTACAGCAGCAGCTACAGCAGCAGCAGCAGCTACAGCAGCAGCAGCAGCAGCTACAGCAGCAGCAGCTACAGCAGCAGCAGCTACAGCAGCAGCAGCAGCTACAGCAGCAGCAGCAGCTACAGCAGCAGCAGCAGCTACAGCAGCAGCAGCAGCAAGCCACGCGTGCGGTGCGTTTGCCCCTCCCCCGTGACGGCGGTTTCTGGAGACGCCGTCACCGCCGTCACCGCCGTCACCGCCACGCCGGCGGCGCTCAGCGGCGCTCCTCAGTAGATTTCCTGCTCCCCGGAGTCCGCCTGCTCCCCCGCCTCCTCCTCCTCTGGGACGGCGAAGCCCTCCTGGGGCAGGGAGGGAGGGAGACGCACGACGGACCGCCGCGGACACAGCGCCGTGAGCCGCCGGTGTCACGGCATCACGATGTCACGGTGGTCACGGCATCACGATGTCACGGTGTCACGGTGTCACGGTGTCACGGTGTCACTGTGTCACGGTGTCACGGTGTCACTGTGTCACGGTGTCACTGTGTCACGGTGTCACGGTGTCACAGTGTCACAGTGTCACGGTGTCACGGTGTCACGGTGTCACGGTGTCACGGTTGTCACAGTGTCACGGTGTCACGGTGTCACGGTGTCACAGTGTCACGGTGTTACGGTGTTACAGTGTGCCCGCGCGGCAGCGCTGGCGCTACGAACCTGGCAACTCGAACCTGGCAACTCGAGTTCGCGTTGATCCTGGGCCTCCCTTAGGTCGACTCAGCCTCAAGCGAGTGCCTGGTGCGGTGTGTAAACATCGCCACGAGGGAGACAAAGGTGGCTGGGCACGGTGTTGGCCACCCACCCCTCGTGTGCCTTGTTGGCCGTCTAAGGTGCTTGCTAACAGCACTTGCCCCAAAAGTCTGTTTAAGGCTATACGGGGGATCTTTGTTCCTATAGTTGTTACCTCACTGCTGCACTCAGGAGGACCTCAGAGTGAAGTGGCAGTCGGAGTGATTGATGATGGAGCACCGAGTCACTCGGCTCACTCGCTCACTAGCGGTCCCTCCCTTATCACTCTTCTACTACGACTACCTTGGTTACTGTTCTCATCAGCTTCACTCATTGATTCCTCCTCCACCCGTGTTGAGGGCTCGGGCGACCAGACACTGAACTGTTCCGTCTCATCCATCACGCTGCGTTCAACCGCAACGACACTGCAGCTCACAATAGCCAGGACTCTCACTCACCTACACAACCACGACCTCACCCACTCACTCTCACTCACCTACACAACCACGACCTCACCCACCCACTCTCACTCACCTACACAACCACGACCTCACCCACTCACTCTCACCTAAACAACCACAACCTCACCCACTCACTCTCACTCACCTACACAACCACGACCTCACCCACTCACTCTCACCTAAACAACCACAACCTCACCCACTCACTCTCACTCACCTAAACAACCACAACCTCACCCACTCACTCTCACTCACCTACACAACCACCACCTCACCCACTCACTCTCACCTAAACAACCACAACCTCACCCACTCACTCTCACTCACCTACACAACCACGACCTCACCCACTCACTCTTACTCACCTACACAACCACGACCTCACCCACTCACTCTCACCTAAACAACCACAACCTCACCCACTCACTCTCACTCACCTACACAACCACAACCCTCACCCACTCACTCTCACTCACCTACACAACCACGACCTCACCCACTCACTCTCACTCACCTACACAACCACGACCTCACCCACTCACTCTCACTCACCTACACAACCACAACCTCACCCACTCACTCTCACTCACCTAAACAACCACAACCTCACCCACTCACTCTCACTCACCTACACAACCACAACCTCACCCACTCACTCTCACTCACCTACACAACCACGACCTCACCCACTCACTCTCACTCACCTACACAACCACGACCTCACCCACTCACTCTCACTCACCTACACAACCACGACCTCACCCACTCTCACTTGCTCACACAACCACAACCTCACCCACTCTCACTCACCTACACAACTACAACTTCACCCACTCACTCTCACTCACCTACACAACCACAACCTCACCCACTCACTCTCACTCACCTACACAACCACGACCTCACCCACTCACTCTCACTCACCTACACAACCACAACCTCACCCACTCTCACTTGCTCACACAACCACAACCTCACCCACTCTCACTCACCTACACAACCACGACCTCACCCACTCACTCTCACTCACCTACACAACCACAACCTCACCCACTCACTCTCACTCACCTACACAACCACAACCTCACCCACTCACTCTCACTCACCTACACAACCACGACCTCACCCACTCACTCTCACTCACCTACACAACACGACCTCACCCACTCACTCTCACTCACCTACACAACCACAACCTCACCCACTCTCACTTGCTCACACAACCACAACCTCACCCACTCTCACTCACCTACACAACCACAACCTCACCCACTCACTCTCACTGACCTACACAACCACGACCTCACCCACTCACTCTCACTCACCTACACAACCACGACCTCACCCACTCACTCTCACTCACCTACACAACCACGACCTCACCCACTCACTCTCACTCACCTACACAACCACAACCTCACCCACTCACTCTCACTCACCTACACAACCACGACCTTACCCACTCACTCTCACTCACCTACACAACCACAACCTCACCCACTCTTACTCACCTACACAACCACAACCTCACCCACTCACTCTCACTCACCTACACAACCACAACCTCACCCACTCTCACTCACCTACACAACCACAACCTCACCCACTCTCACTCACCTACACAACCACAACCTCACCCCACTCTCACTTGCTCACACAACCACAACCTCACCCACTCACTCTCACCTACACAACCACTACCTCACCCACTCTCACTCACCTACACAACCACGACCTCACCCACTCACTCTCACTCACCTACACAACCACAACCTCACCCACTCTCACTCACCTACACAACCACAACCTCACCCACTCACTCTCACTCACCTACACAACCACGACCTCACCCACTCACTCTCACTCACCTACACAACCACAACCTCACCCACTCACTCTCACTCACCTACACAACCACAACCTCACCCACTCACTCTCACTCACCTACACAACCACAACCTCACCCACTCACTCTCACTCACCTACACAACCACAACCTCACCCACTCACTCTCACTCACCTACACAACCACAACCTCACCCACTCACTCTCACTCACCTACACAACCACAACCTCACCCACTCACTCTCACTCACCTACACAACCACGACCTCACCCACTCACTCTCACTCACCTACACAACCACAACCTCACCCACTCACTCTCACTCACCTACACAACCACAACCTCACCCACTCACTCTCACTCACCTACACAACCACGACCTCACCCACTCTCACTCACCTACACAACCACAACCTCACCCACTCTCACTTGCTCACACAACCACAACCTCACCCACTCTCACTCACCTACACAACCACGACCTCACCCACTCACTCTCACTCACCTACACAACCACAACCTCACCCACTCACTCTCACTCACCTACACAACCACGACCTCACCCACTCACTCTCACTCACCTACACAACCACAATCTCACCCACTCTCACTTGCTCACACAACCACAACCTCACCCACACTCACTCACCTACACAACCACAACCTCACCCACTCACTCTCACTCACCTACACAACCACGACCTCACCCACTCACTCTCACTCACCTACACAACACGACCTCACCCACTCACTCTCACTCACCTACACAACCACGACCTCACCCACTCACTCTCACTCACCTACACAACCACGACCTCACCCACTCACTCTCACTCACCTACACAACCACAACCTCACCCACTCACTCTCACTCACCTACACAACCACGACCTTACCCACTCACTCTCACTCACCTACACAACCACAACCTCACCCACTCTTACTCACCTACACAACCACAACCTCACCCACTCACTCTCACTCACCTACACAACCACAACCTCACCCACTCTCACTCACCTACACAACCACAACCTCACCCACTCTCACTCACCTACACAACCACAACCTCACCCACTCTCACTTGCTCACACAACCACAACCTCACCCACTCACTCTCACCTACACAACCACGACCTCACCCACTCTCACTCACCTACACAACCACGACCTCACCCACTCACTCTCACTCACCTACACAACCACAACCTCACCCACTCTCACTCACCTACACAACCACAACCTCACCCACTCACTCTCACTCACCTACACAACCACGACCTCACCCACTCACTCTCACTCACCTACACAACCACAACCTCACCCACTCACTCTCACTCACCTACACAACCACAACCTCACCCACTCACTCTCACTCACCTACACAACCACAACCTCACCCACTTCACTCTCACTCACCTACACAACCACAACCTCACCCACTCACTCTCACTCACCTACACAACCACAACCTCACCCACTCACTCTCACTCACCTACACAACCACAACCTCACCCACTCACTCTCACTCACCTACACAACCACGACCTCACCCACTCACTCTCACTCACCTACACAACCACAACCTCACCCACTCACTCTCACTCACCTACACAACCACACCCTCACCCACTCACTCTCACTCACCTACACAACCACGACCTCACCCACTCTCACTCACCTACAACAACCACAACCTCACCCACTCACTCTCACTCACCTACACAACCACGACCTGACCCACTCTCACTCACCTACACAACCACAACCTCACCCACTCACTCTCACTCACCTACACAACCACAACCTCACCCACTCACTCTCACTCACCTACACAACCACGACCTCACCCACTCTCACTCACCTACACAACCACAACCTCACCCACTCACTCTCACTCACCTACACAACCACGACCTCACCCACTCTCACTCACCTACACAACCACAACTTCACCCACTCACTCTCACTCACCTACACAACCACAACCTCACCCACTCACTCTCACTCACCTACACAACCACGACCTCACCCACTCTCACTCACCTACACAACCACAACCTCACCCACTCACTCTCACTCACCTACACAACCACGACCTCACCCACTCTCACTCACCTACACAACCACAACCTCACCCACTCACTCTCACTCACCTACACAACCACAACCTCACCCACTCACTCTCACTCACCCTAACAACCACGACCTCACCCACTCTCACTCACCTACACAACCACAACCTCACCCACTCACTCTCACTCACCTACACAACCACGACCTCACCCACTCTCACTCACCTACACAACCACAACTTCACCCACTCACTCTCACTCACCTACACAACCACAACCTCACCCACTCACTCTCACTCACCTACACAACCACAACCTCACCCACTCACTCTCACTCACCTACACAACCACAACCTCACCCACTCTCACTCACCTACACAACCACGACCTCACCCACTCTCACTCACCTACACAACCACAACCTCACCCACTCACTCTCACTCACCTACACAACCACGACCTCACCCACTCACTCTCACTCACCTACACAACCACGACCTCACCCACTCACTCTCACTCACCTACACAACCACAACCTCACCCACTCACTCGTCACTCACCTACACAACCACGACCTCACCCACTCACTCTCACTCACCTACACAACCACAACCTCACCCACTCACTCTCACTCACCTACACAACCACAACCTCACCCACTCACTCTCCTCACCTACACAACCACAAACCTCACCCACTCTCACTCGCCCACCTACCACAACCACAACCTCACCCACTCTCACTCACCTACACAACCACAACCTCACCCACTCTCACTCACCTACACAACCACAAACCTCACACCACTCACTCTCACTCACCTACACAACCACGACCTCACCCACTCACTCTCACTCACCTACACAAACCACAACCTCACCCACCTCACTCTCACTCACCTACACAACCACAACCTCCACCCACTCACTCTCACTCACCTACACAACCCACCAACCTCAACCCACTCACTCTCACTCACCTACACAACCACAACCTCACCCACTCACTCTCACTCACCTACACAACCACGACCTCACCCACTCACTCTCACTCACCTACACAACCAAAACCTCACCCACTCACTCTCACTCACCTACACAACCACAACCTCACCCACTCACTCTCACTCACCTACACAACCACAACCTCACCCACTCTCACTCACCTACACAACCACAACCTCACCCACTCACTCTCACTCACCTACACAACCACGACCTCACCCACTCACTCTCACTCACCTACACAACCACGACCTCACCCACTCACTCTCACTCACCTACACAACCACAACCTCACCCACTCACTCTCACTCACCTACACAACCACGACCTCACCCACTCACTCTCACTCACCTACACAACCACAACCTCACCCACTCACTCTCACTCACCTACACAACCACAACCTCACCCACTCACTCTCACTCACCTACACAACCACAACCTCACCCACTCTCACTCGCCCACCTACACAACCACAACCTCACCCACTCTCACTCACCTACACAACCACAACCTCACCCACTCTCACTCACCTACACAACCACAACCTCACCCACTCACTCTCACTCACCTACACAACCACGACCTCACCCACTCACTCTCACTCACCTACACAACCACAACCTCACCCACTCACTCTCACTCACCTACACAACCACAACCTCACCCCACTCACTCTCACTCACCTACACAACCACGACCTCACCCACTCACTCTCACTCACCTACACAACCACAACCTCACCCCACTCACTTTCACTCACCTACACAACCACGACCTCACCCACTCACTCTCACTCACCTACACAACCACAACCTCACCCACTCACTCTCACTCGCACCTACACAACCACGACCTCACCCACTCACTCTCACTCACCTACACAACCACAACCTCACCCACTCACTCTCACTCACCTACACAACCACAACCCTCACCCACTCTCACTCACTCACCTACACAACCACAACCTCACCCACTCTCACTCACTCACCTACACAACCACAACCTCACCCACTCACTCTCACTCACCTACACAACCACGACCTCACCCACTCTCACTCGCCCACCTACACAACCACGACCTCACCCACTCACTCTCACTCACCTACACAACCACAACCTCACCCACTCTCACCTCACCTACACAACCACAACCTCACCCACTCTCACTCGCACCACCTTACTAACTCGCCTCACTTCTCTTTCTGCTGCTTCCCTCGAACTAATTTCTTTATTTCTCTCGAACTGCTTCTTGTCTTTAGTTTGTTGTCCTTCCCCCCGCACCTCCGATTAGCACCGTTCAACGCGAGGGGGGAGGGGGGCAGGAGTGGGGGCAGGTGGTCGGTACGGAGCCGGCCGCGGGAACGTTCGTCCGAGGGTGGCGGCAGGCGCCGCCTTCGACTCCCGGCGGCGTTGTCGGCGGCGGGAGACCCCGGGGCGCCCCCCCCCCCCCCGGCCCTCACCTCGGTGGCGTAGAGCACGTCCAGCACGCGCGTCACCATGGGGTTGCTCTCCGCGTCAAAGTCCTGGCAGATGGTCTCGATGTCGCGCAGCTTGCCGAAGTAGAAGTTCCGCTCCTTCTCCAGCGCCTCCACGCTCACCTTCATCTCCAGCATCTGCAGCGTCACGGGGAGGGTCGGTGGGGTCAGCGTCACGGGGAGGTCCGTGGGGTCAGCATCACGGGGAGGTCCGTGGGGTCAGCGTCACGGGGAGGTCGGTGGGGTCAGCGTCACGGGGAGGTCGGTGGGGTCAGCGTCACGGGGAGGTCGGGTGGGGTCAGCGTCACGGGGAGGTCCGTGGGTCAGCGTCACGGGGAGGTCCGTGGGTCAGCGTCACGGGGAGGTCCGTGGGGTCAGCGTCACGGGGAGGTCCGTGGGGTCAGCGTCACGGGGAGGGTCGGTGGGGTCAGCGTCACGAGGAGGGTCGGTGGGGTCAGCGTCACGGGGAGGTCCGTGGGGTCAGTGTCACGAGGAGGTCGGTGGGGTCAGCGTCACGGGGAGGTCCGTGGGGTCAGCGTCACGAGGAGGTCGGTGGGGTCAGCGTCACGGGGAGGTCCATGGGGTCAGCGTCACGGGGAGGTCCGTGGGGTCAGCGTTCACGGGGAGGTACGTGGGGTCAGCGTCACGGGGAGGTCCGTGGGGTCAGCGTCACGGGGAGGTCCGTGGGGTCAGCGTCACGGGGAGGTCCGTGGGGTCAGTGTCACAAGGAGGGTCGGTGGGGTCAGCGTCACGGGGAGGTCCATGGGGTCAGCGTCACGGGGAGGTCCGTGGGGGTCAGCGTCACGAGGAGGTCGGTGGGGTCAGCGTCACGGGGAGGTCCGTGGGGTCAGTGTCACGGGGAGGTCCGTGGGGTCAGCGTCACGGGGAGGTCCGTGGGGTCAGCGTCACGGGGAGGTCCGTGGGGGTCAAGCGTCACGGGGAGGGTCCGTGGGGTCAGTGTCACGGGGAGGGTCGGTGGGGTCAGCGTCACGGGGAGGTCCGTGGGGTCAGCGTCACGGGGAGGGTCGGTGGGGTCAGCGTCACGGGGAGGTCCGTGGGGTCAGCGTCACGGGGAGGGTCGGTGGGGTCAGCGTCACGGGGAGGTCGGTGGGGTCAGCGTCACGGGGAGGTCCGTGGGGTCAGCGTCACGGGGAGGTCCGTGGGGTCAGCGTCACGGGGAGGTCCGTGGGGTCAGCGTCACGGGGAGGTCCGTGGGGTCAGCGTCACGGGGAGGTCCGTGGGGTCAGCGTCACGGGGAGGTCCGTGGGGTCAGTGTCACAAGGAGGGTCGGTGGGGTCAGCGTCACGGGGAGGTCGGTGGGGTCAGCGTCACGGGGAGGTCTGTGGGGTCAGCGTCACGGGGAGGTCCGTGGGGTCAGCGTCACGGGGAGGTCCGTGGGGTCAGCGTCACGGGGAGGGTTCGTGGGGTCAGCGTCACGGGGAGGTCCGTGGGGTCAGCGTCACGGGGAGGGTCGGTGGGGTCAGCGTCACGGGGAGGTCGGTGGGGTCAGCGTCACGGGGAGGTCCGTGGGGTCAGCGTCACGGGGAGGTCCGTGGGGTCAGCGTCACGGGGAGGTCCGTGGGGTCAGCGTCACGGGGAGGTCCGTGGGGTCAGCGTCACGGGGAGGTCCGTGGGGTCAGCGTCACGGGGAGGTCCGTGGGGTCAGTGTCACAAGGAGGGTCGGTGGGGTCAGCGTCACGGGGAGGTCGGTGGGGTCAGCGTCACGGGGAGGTCCGTGGGGTCAGCGTCACGGGGAGGTCCGTGGGGTCAGCGTCACGGGGAGGTCCGTGGGGTCAGCGTCACGAGGAGGTCCGTGGGGTCAGCGTCACGGGGAGGGTTCGTGGGGTCAGCGTCACGGGGAGGGTCCGTGGGGTCAGTGTCACGGGGAGGTCTGTGGGGTCAGCGTCATGAGGAGGTCGGTGGGGTCAGCGTCACGGGGAGGGTCGGTGGGGTCAGCGCGTTTGTTTTCGTGTTGCCGAGTTTCAGCGGCACGGCGCGCTAACCGCTGCGCCAGCCCCTCGCCCTCCTCCACCCCCCCCCCCCCGACTCCCGTTGAGTTATATTCTTAGTTTTTTCGGTAAAGTCACGTTGAAGAGAAACAACAAAATAATAAAATATATATAAAACAATAAAAAATTCTCACGACGTTTCGACCATAACTCAAACGGTCATCTTCAGGTGTGTTGGTTTGCATACATTTATTTTTAACGGCGCATTTATTTATTTATAAAAAACGTTAGCGTCACGCGCAGCGATTTGGCAGTTTACCCAGGACTAATCCATCTATATTCTGAAAGAGGAGGGGGGAGACGAAATTTTTTATAATGTATGCTGTCTGAAAGCCACTGTAAGCGTGAACAATCAATTAAGAACTGAAATGGTTTATCAAATCTTTCCAATGATTGCTAAGATAGAATCCATCTTCTCGGTTGAAATTGTCTCTGTGCTTGTATATTGGATAGCCTCATAACGAATCTCTAATGGAAGCCAGATGGCTTACAAAGAACCTCTGTCTTGGAAAAGTCCAATGGCATGTGAGCCTACTGAATTAGGAACAATGATCTGCTACGGCCGAGGTGTTGGTCCTACCGTGTTTTAAGGTCTGCTTTGTGTTCACGAATGCGGTCCGAGACATGGCGTTTGGTTTCTCCAATGTAACTACTACCACAGAGGCAACTTAGTTTGTAGACACCAGGGTATTGTATGTCCGGAATCACATCTTTTACAGACGGAACCAGATCACGGATTTTATGTAATGTGTTGAAACGGACCTGGATCTTGTGTTGATTCATGCGCCGTTTAAAATAAATTTATGCAAACCAACACACCTGAAGATGACCGTTTGAGTTATGGTCGAAACGTCGTGAGAATTTTTATTGTTTTATATATATTGTATTATTTTGTTGTTTCTCTTCAACGTGACTTTACCGAAAAAACTAAGAATATGAATTACTGCAGTCACGAAAGCTTTAAATCAAAATCCCGTTGAGTTGTTCGTCAAGTGAGTGGGCGACAGGGTGAGTGAGTGGATGGGTGGATGGGTGGGTGCGATGACGCAGGCTAAAAGAGAGCGCGAGGAGGGAGAGGGACAGGAAGAGGAACCTGCTGGTTGAGCTCCGTCATCTGGGCGTCGTCTCCGGCCTTGGGCTTGCCTTGGGGGGTGCCGCCGCCCCCGCTGCTGTGTGGGGAGGAGCGGGCGGGGGTGCTGGTAGGCCGCGGGGCCGGAGACACAGACGTGGCCTTCGGGGCGGCCGCTGCGCGTACACGCAAAGACAAAGGTCCCCCGGGTAGCATTCAAAAACCGTTAGGGGCAAGTGCTGTTCGTGGTGGCGAGCACCTACGAGGGCCAGCAACGCGCCTGGCCGTCTTTGTCACCAGGTGCTCATTTCAGGCTGAGTTAACTTAGGGGGGGCCCGGGATTGGTTCTGATCTTCGCCACTGTTTGTTGGTCATGAACGGGAATCGTTTTCGGGTGGCCGGGGTTCGTAGCGCGGTCCGTGTACGTGTGCACGCCAATCTGCCACCAATCTGCCACCGCTCCTCACTAGATACACACAAAGACCTCCTGAATGCCCTCAACAGACTTTTGGGCCAAGTGCTGTAAGCCGAGCACCTATGAAGGCCAGCACGGTTCTTGGCAACTGTGTGGCGAGCAACAATAAGCCCCTCCCCGCACACTTTGCCACCCCCACCCCCCCCAGAGGGTGGCACACACGCGCACGCCCGCCGTGCCCGTACCGGGCGGGGTGCTGTGCCGCTTGGGCTTGTTGAAGATCTGCTCGCCGTGATTGGGCGGCGGCGTGGCGTGCACGCCGTGCCGCGCCACCACGGGGTCGTACTCCCGCCCGTCATAGTTCGCCTCAAAGAACTTCTTGAACCACTGCAGGAACTCGAAGTTGTCCTGGAACTTGCCCTTCACCAGCTTGTCCACCGGGATGATCTGGGGGGTGGGGGCGAGACGTCCGACGTGTCAACGGTTGCTAACAAACTCTTTTCATTTCACCAGGGAAGGCCCAACTGAGCTATGGAGCTCTTTGTCAGAAGCGACCTGGCCACGCCTAATCATAGCAGCTCTCTGTGTGAGTTGTGAGTGGGTCTCATAGCAGTTCTCTACGTGAGTCGTGAGTGGGTCTCATAGCAGCTGTCTACGTGAGTCGTGAGTGGGTCTCATAGCAGCTCTCTATGTGAGTCGTGAGTGGGTCTCATAGCAGCTCTCTACGTGAGTCGTGAGTGGGTCTCATAGCAGCTCTCTATGTGAGTCGTGAGTGGGTCTCATAGCAGCTCTCTGTGTGAGTCGTGAGTGTGTCTCATAGCAGCTCTCTACGTGAGTCGTGAGTGTGTCCTCATAGCAGCTCTCTACGTGAGTCGTGAGTGTGTCTCATAGCAGCTCTCTGTGTGAGTCGTGAGTGGGTCTCATAGCAGCTCTCTGTGTGAGTCGTGAGTGGGTCTCATAGCAGCTCCCTACGTGAGTTGTGAGTGTGTCTCATAGCAGCTCTCTGTGTGAGTCGTGAGTGGGTCTCATAGCAGCTCTCTGTGTGAGTCGTGAGTGTGTCTCATAGCAGCTCTCTACGTGAGTCGTGAGTGTGTCTCATAGCAGCTCTCTACGTGAGTCGTGAGTGTGTCTCATAGCAGCTCTCTGTGTGAGTGGTGAGTTGGTCTCATAGCAGCTCTCTGTGTGAGTCGTGAGTGGGTCTCATAGCAGCTGTCTACGTGAGTCGTGAGTGCGTCTCGGAACCCGGGTCGCCGGGTTCAGTAGCGCGGCGTGCTAACTGCTGCGCCACCCCCTCGTCCACGATCTCCACCCCCCCACTCTCCCCACACTCCCCCCCAACTCTCCCCCCCCCCCAACTCTCCCCCCCCCCAAACTCTCCTCCACCCACTCTCCCCCCCCCACTCTCCCTACACTCCCCCCCCCACTCTCCCTACACTCCCCCCACCCACTCTCCCCCCCGCCCACTCTCCCCACTCTCCCCCCCGCCCACTCTCCCCCCCCCCCCCACCTTGTCAACGCTCATGCGCTTGAAGGAGGCCTGCAGCAGCTTGTAGTTGTGGATGTACTCGTGCTCCAGCTTGGCCTGGAACTTCACCTTCTTCAGTGAAATGCAGCCCGGGAAGAGCATGTCCATGAACTGGCAGTAGGTGGCGCCTGTGTGCGCGGGAGAGACCACCACAGGCACGGGGTCACACAGAGGGACAGGGACGCCGATAGGCTGAGTGCGGGGGGGGGGAAATGAACGAAGCTGCAGCCTGTTCTCCCATATCGCTGCGTGGTATCACGACGCGAATTGGAGAAAGCGTGACGAATCTATTCGGGAAAGCGTATTTTAATAACGCGGATGCGAATTGGATATAACGCGATCGGAGTGAGCGGAACTCCGTCGCGCGAGGCGCTGGGATGCCGCTGGATGCTTCTAGAAGCGACCCGCGCGTCTCGGTCTTTGTTCGGCCTGCGTATCCATCTCACGTGCTTGTGCGGACTGTGCTGTTCCCGATATTATATATTATTTATTATAAAAATATTTTTCCACAACGCAGTGTTCTTCAGAAACGCAAACTAGCGCGTTATAGGAGAACAGGCTCTATGTTCAGCGATGAACTCTTGTTTGCTTTCTTGATTTGAAGCTTTCGTGACTGCAGGAATCCATAAAAAATAATGGAACTGCCGGACTACTTTTTCCGCCTGAGGACGACCGCTGTGTAGCGATCGAAACGCCGTGATATATTTTATTTTTTGTTTTATTTTATTTTTCTACCTACGTGACTTTACCGAAAGAATCAAGATTCCTGTTTACTGTACCAAGTCAGGGCACTGAGCTACATTGCTGTTTTTCAGACACTCCCCGATTTGCTGTACCCCAGGGATAGCTCTGGAGAGGGCACAATCGGCACCGCCCTCAAATAGCAGAGGTTTAGCTGCACCAATTAAATCATTTATATGGCCAAGGAGAGTGAATCACGTGATAATCCCACTCGCTCCAGAAGGGTGTCACATTGTTAACCGTTACTCGTGTGTACGTGTCTGTCTGTGCGGTTAGCACGCCGCACTACGAGGCCGGGGGACCCGAGTTCCATTCCTGCTCAAGGCCAACACCAGTGACAATTATCTGAACCGTTCCTGGGCCTCCCCTAGGTCGACTCAGCCTCAATGAGTACCTAGTGCGAAGTACCTAGTGCAGTGTGTTCTGGCCTTCAGAGGTGCTGCTCTCTAACAGCACTTGCACCAACAGTCTGTTAAGGCTATATGGGGAATATTTGTCTTTGTGTGCGCGTGTGGTAGGTGCCTGTGTGCGCGTGTCTGTGTGTGCGTGTGTCTGTGCGCGCGTGTGCACGTGTGTCTGTCTGTGTGTCTGTGTGCGCGTGTGTGTGCACGTGTGTCTGTCTGTGTGTCTGTGTGCGCGTGTGTGCACGTGTGTCTGTGTGCGCGTGTGTGCACGTGTGTCTGTCTGTGTGTCTGTGTGCGCGTGTGTGTGCACGTGTGTCTGTCTGTGTGTCTGTGTGCACGTGTGTCTGTCTGTGTGTCTGTGTGCGCGTGTGTGCACGTGTGTCTGTCTGTGTGTCTGTGTGCGCGTGTGTGCACGTGTGTTTGTGTGCGCACGTGTGCACGTGCGTGGTGTGTGACTCGCCGGAGCACAGCTGCTCGATCTTGGTGTAGTTGAGGTGCAGGGAGTCGTTGATCCAGGCCAGCATGTCGTGCCGGCTCAGCGTGTCCATGGTGACGGGCGTGATGTACACGTTCACCGCCATCGCGACACTCCTCCTCCTCCTCCTCGCCTGACACGCACCGCCTGCCACCACGCACCGCACCCCGTCGTAGTGGTGGTGGTTATCGTGGTGGTTGCCATGGTTATTGCTCACGCTTTCTCCCCACGTGAATAATAACACGACTCATCATCGGCTGCAAACATGGTAAGATAAAAACCGAACGTAGCGGCAGGACCTGGCTGTCGCAATAGACAATCAAATAGCTACGACTCTGACTGCTCTATGAGAATGCATTGCTGAGGAGCACTTTGAGATTTGCTCATTGAGGACAGATCACCACCGCAGCGACGTCCGGGTGATGCTGATGGCGCGTTGTCTGTGCGTCTGTGTGCCGAACTTCTTTCGCACCGTACGTAGCCAGCCGTGATAATCGGAGGTGCGGGGGAAGGACAGCAAACTATGACGACGATGATGATGGTGGCTTGGGAAGGCCTTGATCTAGCAGTGGATGGATCATTGCTGATGATCATGGTGATGATGATGACCCGCTGAGAAACCTTCACAATGGCCTTGTCTCTATCTCACCAGGATGGGGTGTGGACGAAGGGGGGTGAGCGTGGGGTGAGCGTGGGGGTGAGTGTGGGGGTGAGTGTGAGCGTGGGGGTGAGCGTGGGGGTGAGTGTGAGCGTGGGGGTGAGTGTGGGGGTGAGTGTGAGCGTGGGGGTGAGTGTGAGCGTGGGGGTGAGCGTGGGGGGTGAGTGTGAGCGTGGGGTTGAGTGTGAGCGTGGGGGTGAGTGTGAGCATGGGGGTGAGCGTGGGGGTCAGTGTGGGGGTGAGTGTGAGGGTGAGCGTGGAGGTGAGTGTGAGCGTGGGGGTGAGTGTGGGGGTGAGTGTGAGCGTGGGGGTGAGCGTGGGGGTGAGTGGTGGGGTGAGTGTGAGGGTGAGCGTGGAGGTGAGTGTGAGCGTGGGGGTGAGCGTGGGGTCAGTGTGGGGGTGAGTGTGAGGGTGAGCGTGGAGGTGAGTGTGAGCGTGGGGGTGAGTGTGGGGGTGAGTGTGAGCGTGGGGGTGAGCGTGGGGTGAGTGTGGGGGTGAGTGTGAGGGTGAGCGTGGAGGTGAGTGTGAGCGTGGGGGTGAGTGTGGGGGTGAGTGTGAGCGTGGGGGTGAGCGTGGGGTGAGGGTGGGGGTGAGTGTGAGGGTGTGCGTGGAGGTGAGTGTGAGCGTGGGGGTGAGCGTGGGGGTCAGTGTGGGGGTGAGTGTGAGGGTGAGCGTGGAGGTGAGTGTGAGCGTGGGGGTGAGAGTGGGGGTGAGTGTGAGCGTGGGGTGAGCGTGGGGGTGAGTGTGGGGGTGAGTGTGAGGGTGAGCGTGGAGGTGAGTGTGAGCGTGGGGTGAGCGTGGGGGTGAGCGTGGGGTGAGTGTGAGCGTGGGGGTGAGCGTGGGGGTGAGTGTGGGGGTGAGTGTGAGGGTGAGCGTGGGGGTGAGTGTGAGCGTGGGGGTGAGTGTGGGGGTGAGTGTGGGGGTGAGAGTGGGGGTGTGAGGAGAGGGTGAGTGTGGGGGTGAGTGTGGGGGTGAGTGTGGGGGTGAGTGTGGGGGTGAGTGTGAGCGTGGGGGTGAGTGTGGGGGTGAGCGTGGGGGTGAGTGTGGGGGTGAGTGTGAGTGTGAGCGTGGGGGTGAGTGTGGGGGTGAGCGTGGGGGTGAGTGTGGGGGTGAGTGTGGGGGTGAGTGTGAGGGTGAGTGTGGGGGTGAGTGTGAGCGTGAGGGTGAGTGTGGGGGTGAGTGTGGGGGTGAGTGTGAAGGTGAGTGTAAGGGTGAGCGTGGGGTGAGTGTAAGGGTGAGCGTGGGGTAAGTGTGTGCGCATGGGTGAGAGGGGGGGGTGCAGATGTCTCAGGGGGGGTCCCTTGGGGTCGCGAGCAGCAGGACCCCAAATGAGCCCCGAGCTGCCCTGAGGGTGGGGGCTCGTGGAGGTGGGGGAGGGAGGGGGGTTACCATGGAAACCGTCTGCCAGCAACCACCCCGGGTTCCTCTCATCCTCCCGCCGTGCCCTGTGTCATTGTGTGTGTGTGTCATTGTGTGTGTGTGTCATTGTGTGTGTGTGTCATTGTGTGTGTGTGTGTGTCATTGTGTGTGTGTCATTGTGTGTGTGTGTGTCATTGTGTGTGTGTGTCATTGTGTGTGTGTGTCATTGTGTGTGTGTGTGTCATTGTGTGTGTGTGTCATTGGTGTGTGTGTGTCATTGTGTGCGTGTCATTGTGTGTGTATGTCATTGTGTGCGTGTCATTGTGTGTGTATGTCATTGTGTGTGTGTGTCATTGTGTGTCTGGCAAAACAACCCCTACTTCCTCGCTGTGCCGGACGGGCAACTCTGTCGTGGGACAGTGCTGTGGGGGGAGAGGGGAGAGGGCCAATCGGAATTGGCCCTCTCCCCTCATGGCGTCTGTGACCACCACAGTGGCTAAAAGGGGGCTCTGGACCGGTGCGAGAGGCTGGTAACCCTCCACCTTCAAAAAATTACTACGAAACCACGACTAAAATATCTAACTAATAAGCTTGTGCGGAGGCCCCGGGGGCCAGGCGTCTATGACGTCTCCTGGCCAAACCCCAATTGGCGGAGCCAGAAGATTGAATCTCTACCCTCGGGGCTCCTCCAGAAACAACGAAAAGCCACTTCGCGTGGCCACGTGGAATATTCAAATGCTCACTGCGGAGGAGAGGCTGCCACTCCTCTGTCGGGAGCTGGACCGGTACCGCCTGGATCGAGATGGCATTCAGGAGGTCCGGTGGACCGGTTCTGGCTCCTGCCACCATGAGGGGTGGACAGTCCTCTACTCGGGGCAGCAGACTGCCAAACAACAGGGTGTGGCTCTTCTTTTGAACAAAAGAATGAAGGGGGCGTGGGAACGTGACGGTGAGGTGTGGGAAGCTGTAAGCCCCAGGCTACTTTGGGCTCACCTTCCCATCAACCGGAGGCGAGGAGTGGTGGACGTGGTTACTTATGCCCCCACCGAAGATGAACATCCGTGGAGGGATGCAGGCAAAGCCGATGAGTCAGATGCCTTCTATGACTCCTGTCACAGGTGCTGGCAAAGTGACACCTCGGGATAGAGTCATCTTGTTGGGTGACTTCAATGCCCGAGTTGGTCATGATGCTGGCACCTGGTCTGGAGTGATTGGAGGGCATGGGCCAGAATCAGCTCAATAACAACGGTAGGAGGCTGCTAGATTTTTGTGCAGCACATGGGCTTGTAATTACCAACACGCTGTTCCGGCATCGGCGCATCCACACAACATCATGGATACATGCCGGGTCCAAGCAAGAACATCTGCTGGACTACATAGTGACGGACCAGCGGATGCGAGCCCATGTCCTTGACACCAGGACCTACCGTGGAGCTGATCTGCCCTCTGACCATCGACTAGTCATCTATAAGATGCGCCTGCCATTCTTCCACTCCGGTGGTGGGTGTACACCCAGGACCCCATTCCAACCTAAAGTGGCCTGGTCTCAGTTAGCCGATGAAAGTTGCAAGCGAGAATTTCATCATCGCTTGCGGCTGGGGTTGGCATCGTCCCCCACTCCTCCTGTTGTCGAGGGTAAATGGGCGAAGTTTAGGACTGTGACTCATGCAGCTGCAATGGCTGCTTTGGGTACGCGGTCCAGACCTCCCCAGAGACCCTGGCTGACAGAGGAGGTGTTCAGGTTGGTTGAGAAAAAGCGACAGGCCCACTGTCATCAGCTATAGAATCCCACGTCAGAGAATGAGGAGGCTTACCGCAGCCTTCGCTCGGAGGTTCGGAGAGCCGTGAGGCGCTGCAAGGATGGGTGGTGGTCGTGGGTTGCTGAGGAGATGGAGTCTGCCTCAGTGGCCCGCGATCACAAATCTCTATTTAACTCCATCAAAAAAGTAACCTGCAGCGCCACAACTATTACCATCATTAGGGGAAAAAATGGTATTCCAATCTCCGACCCCCAGGAACAGGTTTGCAAATTTGCTGAGCATTTCTGTGAGGTCCTGGGGGAGGGGAAACCCTTCAGCCAGGAAAACAATGTGGCACAAAGTGGGCATGACCCTGCTGAGGCTGCGGTGCCTCAAATATTGGAATAAGTCACCCCCTGTGAGTGGCTGGCTGAGGTTCCATCTGTTGAGGAAGTACTGAAGGCGATCTGGAGTCTGAGACCAGGAAAGGCAGCGGGCAGAGATGATCTCCCAAGCGAAATGCTGAGGGAGGGTGGCGTTTGTGCACAGACTGCCCTATATGACATCATAACAAGTCTAGACCACTCGACGGGTTCCACAGGATTGGAAGGATGCCCTGGTGGTCCCCCTCTTTAAGAAGGGGGACCGCACAGACTGTAACAACTACAGGGGCATCTCACTCCTCAGTGGGTCGGGAAAGGTCCTGGCAAGGATTATTCAACATCGCCTTACCAGGCACGCTGAGGAGAGGCTTGCGGAGCCCCAATGCGGTTTCAGGAAAGGGCGGTCCTGCACAGATGCCATATTTTCTGTCCATCTGCTACAGCAAGGTGTAGGGAATTCCAGCAAGACCTACATCTCTGCTTTATTGACCTGGTCAAGGCTATGATACCATCAGTAAGCCTGGGCTCTGGGTTATTCTTCGTGCTTTTGGAGTACCTGACCCTCTGCTCACGATCATTAAGGACCTTCATGATGGTGAGCGGGCCCGGGTAAAACTACGTGGCCGGGAGTCAGAGCCATTCCCTGTACACCTTGGGGTGCGTACAGGGATGTCCTCTGGCTCCCACATTATTTAACATCTATGTTTGACCACGTAGTTCGTGAAGCCTTAAATAGCTGTACCGGGGGAATCTCCATATGGTACATATATAATGGGAGGCTGATCGATGCCCGGTGCGGTCAAGGGATGGCTCCCTACTGGTCAACCACATTATGTATACCGATGATATGGTAATAGCCGCTCATTCAGAGGAGGAGTTGGAGACGCTGCTGCTGAGACTGGAGCGTGTCACTAAGAGGTGGGGCCTTACCATCAGCCCCACCAAAACTAGCACCTACCTGGGTATTTTGTACCATCGACACTCCACCCCCACAACTCCCAATCGGTG